GGTCGAGCTTTTGGAATTCCTTTTTTTTTTTTTTTTTTTTTTTGAGTAAAATTGCTCAAAACAACATCAACAACAACAAAAAAACCCCTCCAAAAAGAAAATAATCAAAAACAGTTTCGCTTTTAAGTCTCTGGGAACACATGAAAGGCCCAACTGCTCTTCGCTGAATTAGAAAGACTGAACAAAGGTGTTTGTCTATTCAGAAAATTAGATTTTAGACTACCAACAGTTCAAAGTCTATTCAAAACAGAATCCAACAAAAGTGAGAGACTCCTGCACTGGTTCCCACCTACCAGACAAGTTTTGGTGGCAGCCAGTCCCTTAGGAAAAAACCAAAAACAAACAAACCATACTCAACTGGAATTTGAGTTTGCACTTATTTATCATTAGCTCATCATCAGAAGATTTTGAAACATTATAATCTGTAGACTGCCTTCCTGGCTGAAGGAGGGGCAGGGAAGAAAAGCAAACACGAACTCGGCTCACTAAATGCATCTGCAAGATCGGGATGAAATTCCTCTCTCCTTGAACTGACATCCACGCTTGATCGCGAACGAACACCACATTCTGGTGAATGGGTAGTTATTAATAAAGAAACCGAAGGCAGAGAGTCGTTTAGTCCTCCTTTTGTGCTGGTGACAAAAAAATCCAAACTAAATATATAAAGCCAAAAAAAAAAAAAAAAAAAAAAAAAGAATTCTTCCCCTTCCCTGACAGCCTTCATCATCAGTCAATCACAAGAATCTGAGAACCAAATGAGCTCAAGTCTTTCCCACCCACGTGGTGTCATTTTTTCATAGCAGGGACAGCAGCACTCGATGGGATGAGGAGTGGTCTTCTTGCGTCCTATAAAGCCTGGGGCATATCCAGCTGGGATTAAAGCAGATTCCACTGTAATGTGGTATAAAAAGGATGGCAGAAACAGGAAAAGTCTTCCTCTCGGGCATTCCTCTGCATTATTTCCACGTGGCAGACTGTGGGATGGACCGTGGGGGAATCATATCCAGGAGATATTCACGCTGGCGGTCTACTGCTGAAGATGACTTGTGCACAGCTAAACTAGGATTAACAAAAGGTAAAGCCCCACCTGATGAGACAGAAAAGAGAAGAGAGAACAAGTGTCACAGTACGATACGAACGTGAGACAAAACAGTGGCAAAAAACCCACTCTACTCATTTCATATCTAAATATGCATGGGGCACTACTGGCCACAAAGGTCAGGCACCTCCAGAACATGAAAGCTTCCAAAATCATCCCAACAAATAGGAGCAAGATTTTGTACCAGAAATTAAGCTCTGAGCAGGCTAGAGCTCTCTGCAATGAAATTACTTTTTAAATGAGAAATTAAGCTGTCAGGGATTAAAAAAAAAATAAAATCAAAAGAAATCCATTCAATACGAGACAAGAAAGTAGATCACAAAAGAGCTAGTTGCTACAGTGTTTCCTTCCTGGAGATCCTAATTATCATTTAAGAAAACAAATCACTCAAGTCACATTCTTACATATATAAAAAAAAAGATTAGATTAGAATTTTTAATTTCCACTTGTTCAAAGCAACAGGTTTAGTTATTTCAAAAATCCTGGGAGCGTGCACTGTAGCCTTACCTAGAGCAAAACCATCTACTTACTCTACGCGGCTTTCAGCAAAGAGAAACCACCAGTCAAAATTAAATGACTGAATTAAACTCCCAGAAACAAATTACAAACTCCTGCGGCATGGTACTGGCTGTGCGTACGGACTCAACGATGAACAGTCTGACATTACACATTTATAAACAGACTGAATAGATGTAAAGGAGCAGGTTTTATTTGGTAGCACCACCCGATCAGCCCTCTTGATGAGCATAAACCACACCAAAAGCAAGTGCCAACAACAATACTAAGAGCGAAGCCTTGGTACCATCAGGCTTTCATGCAGGAAGTGTCAAAGAGAAAGCATCCTTACCCAAAGAACAATGATTGTGGGACAGAGTGCAGCTAGTAAGTACAAAGAAAAGAAACTTTAGAGAAAAATCTACCTGTATTGATGGGAGTCTTCTTCCAGGCGGCAGCGCTGCCCTTGCTGACAGGTCTCTCAGCATGCTTACCTGGCCTACTCCCAAGTGCTGCTGCAGACGATGCATTCTGCAACTTGGGTGACTGGCTAAATGCATGCAACACTCCTCGTGCAGCTCCAGGAGGACCTCGAGACATCTGGCTAGAAGTCTGAGAAGAGAGCAAACGGTAAGACAGGCATAGCAGATTTCTGTCTCTCAAGCACTTGATGAATCTTTACTGCCCCTCTCTCCTTCCCTGGCTGCTTCTGCCAAGTCTGGAATGTATTACTACAGCTTCAGGGCTGAAAACTTCCAAGACATCTCTACAACAAATTAAGAAGCACCTTTCTACTTCTGAAAGCAACTTTAAGGACAAGGAATTACACTCAGCTGCAAAGCAGCAAAAAATATGCTGTGTAAGCATCTCCGTGCACAGGCAGCACTCTTAATTCCGTGTACCTTCATTATTTCAACTCAAACCAGCACTTAAGCGGCTTCCATCTTCCCCCAACCGAAAGGTGGTTTTACAAGGTGTGTGAGACCCAGTCCCGATCATGGATGGTTGTTACCATCACCTTAAAACTTCACAAGCAGCACTGTGTTCCTGGCTCAAGGTCAATTTACTCTTGTGTATCTGGCACTGGAGCACCGTTTGCCATTTGGTACGTTCCAAAAAAAATTGAGGAATAGGCTTTGCAAGCTATGAGTCAAACACCCCAGATAATTACAATGACTCTGCAGAAGAACACCACTCTTCAGAGGTCATCATCTACGTATGGGGTTCCCACATGACACAAAACACTTTCACCAGCCTGGTTTTAAGCTTACACCCCAACACACAGACTGCCGAGCTGAAGTAAAGCAAGTTTGTGCGTTGTTTTCACACCTGCCCACCAAACACTTGGGCTTGGAGCCTCATCTTCACCGAGATCTGGCTTCTGGTGGACAGAGCCGTACCTGCTTGAGTGAGTGGTGCTGCACTATAGGGTCTGACTTGGTCTGTACAGGAGACGCCGTCTGTTGCAGTATCCTTTGCTCAATCTCCTGCTCTTGCTGCAGTGCTTTTACGAAGGCAGCCTTCAGTCGGTTAGTGTGCTCAGCTTTCAAGGCCTTTTTCTGATTTGATGTCATGCAGGTTTCACACATAATGGTTCCGTTCTTCTCCTCCCTCCAACGGCAGGTGAAGTCAGTCTTACACTGAGCACACATATAGGGCTCACGAGATGATACAGCAACCGAAACTTTACCTGGAGAACACAACCAGCTTAGCTCAGCTCCACCCGCGGCTTCTATGAATCAACACTTGAGAAACCTCATGGATATTCCAGCATAAAAAAACCCCAAACCCAACAAACCAACCCCGAAACAAACCCTCCACCCTTATTTCCCCTCAGTCTGAAGCCTTTTGCATTACTAAAACTTTAAATCTTTAAACTCTTTGCTTCTGCGACTGCATGTGTAGGTTAGAGAGTTTAGCGGTGATGGACAAACAAGTGGCTGATAGGAAGTCAACAGCTCTGGGGAGAACTGGATGCTTTTTAGAGAAATCTTTACAACCAGTGTCTAGCCTATGAGATATCGTAACACACTGAAATTTCAGAATTTTACAGCTAAAACAGTTTGAAAAGTAGTAAAGGAAGTGAATCCCAGATTTGACAGAATATGACGCTTTAATCCTGTGACACCTGAAATGCATTGCTGCCTGCTATTGAGTTAAAGTCCAGATGGCAAAGATTCTCTCCTCACCTTTGAGGAACATTTTTAACTCTATCTCACCTTGAGTTTCCAGCAAATTCTGCACAACTTCTTCCAACCCGACTAAGTAAATAAATTCGTTATTAGCTGCACTTGGCAGGAAGTTCATCTCTGGCGCAGGTGGCTTGGGAGGAGGGATCTCCAACAGCGTCTTCTCCAGCTGCTTCCGCAAGGCGAGCTTGGCGGCGGCTTGCCGGCTGGCCGGCGAGTCGTTGGAGTTGACAATGGAAGCGGCGCTGGTTGTAGTAGCGTTAGCCTGAGCGGACGTCACGGTTGTACCTTTGATTGAAGTTGGTGAAGCCTGGGAGGAAACACAACACGGCTTAGCGACAAGGGCCGGATGGTTCAGCGCTTTTGAGACATGTGCTCCTCTCCACCAAGGGGGATGAGAGGGAGGGAGGCCGTGGGGCTGTGTGCGATGAAGGCTGGCTGCTTGGGACTAGACCGAACCGCCTGCTTTTAAGCCTTATTTTTGCATGTGACTGAACACATCACAATACATACGTGTACTGCGACATTGTACCTCCTGTTACAAATACAATCTGTCATCTAACACTCTAATTCTTTTTCTAAAGAATTTCACTCTTCCTTACTGATCATTTTTATAAGGCAGTTTTAGAAATTCTAAAGAAAAAAACAAAACCAACTCCAACCACCGACTTTAAATTTTCTTTATCTACAGCACCTGTGTGCCAGCATAGGTGGTGGATGTTAAGTAGCTGCTTCAGTATCTCTCGGTGTTTCAAACAGGAGCAATAACCCATTTTGAGCTCTGTTTCCTAGAACACTCATCTACGCTTCTAAGGAAGAGAGAAAGAAAAAAAAAAAAGATATCCTAATTGACAGCTTCATATTGAAATACCAAACGTGAAATGAGGCGCAACATTCAGTTCACTGAAATGTGTATTTATTTCCAATATTCTGTAATGTTTTTCTCCATTGCTACGTACAGGAGGTGAGTGTGAACAGAGAGAGGGGCTGCATGGGAGGAACAAGGAGCAGTAATAAGCAGCCGCATCGGCTCGAGGACAGCAGGCCCCATCAATTAGATACAGTAACCCAGGGATCGTTAATTACAACTGTTATTTCTGTTCCTTTGCATGTTACGTTTGACATAAAATACCTTACGGAACTCACCTGCGGGATATTGACAAGCAGGCTGGTGTTGGGGACGTTGGCGACGCGGATCAGACCCTGCTGGATAATTCGCTGCCCCTGAATTTGTACGCTGGGGACCGATGCCCGCGGTGCCAGCAGCAGCGGAGGCGGCCCCGTGCTGGAGTGCTGTCGGATGTTGTGGATTTGCTGGGAAGACACAGAAATGGGCTGATGCAATGGTGCCGTGAACGATGGGGAGGATTAGATAGCGGGAAGTAAGCGGTGGGAGTCAAATGGGATGACATGAGAGAGTGGGAATGAGGCAAGGCAAGGAACGCAAAGAAAGCGCGGTAATTAACATCCGTGCCAAAAGGCGATGTTTTTCCCTTTCCCTCTTGTCAAAATTAAACAAGTAGAACGTAACATGAAGAGATGCTTGTATGTGAGGCCATCATATTACAGCCAGAAGAGCCGTGTCAAAAAAAAATTAAAAAAAAAAATAAATCTAAGTTTCCAAGTCAAATTTCTTTCAAAATGTATGGCTGTTAAGCCTGTTTCATTTCAAAGGCATTAGGAAAGCTATTTCTCAGAATGAGGTTTTCGCCATAATCAGAACAGAAGGAAAATGAAGCACCAAATCTCTACCTTCCTCCTTAATGCTGGCTATGCAACAGATAAAAAGCAGACCTTTCACTGCAAAATAAATCCTCATTTAACAAGAAAATATTTTTTCCTGGTATCCCACGGAAGTCATAATTTTAGAAGACCGTATCAAATTGAACATTGCTTTCCTACTCCTTTAGTGACACCGCTATTTTCTGTTATAGGTGATAAAGACTCGGCAAAGCCGCACTTTCAGACTTCCAACCGACTATCTCATTTCAGCAGCTCTTACTCAATTGCAAGAAAGACACAATGAGGAAAAAACCCCTGAGTTTTAGCATTTGAAAAGGTGAAATTGATATGACAGAAATAATAACGAGAGGGGGAAAAAAGGAAGAACAAGGGATTGTGTTTCATTTCCTCTGCTGCCGCTCTCCTAAAAAGAGCTGGAAGCCTGTAAATTAACTTTAATAGTAAAGACAAACAAACTGCTCTGGTGCAGCTAAGGGAAGCAGCAATGCAGGTAAGGCAGTATCCTACATCACCACAGGATTTTCTCGGGCTTCACTGGAAGCATTACGGGACAGCACAATAAGCAAAAGCAGAATGATGCAGGACCTTTCAGCAGCAATACATCTAGCCATATTAAGAAATTCCAGCAAGAACTTCATAGGTTCCCTCCAGACAAGCAGAAAGATGACTAGGAAAACAGTTAAGATGCATTAAGGAAAAACCAGAGCGGCTCTACACAAGGTAAATACTTACCTGTGCTCCTCTGACAAGAGGCGGCATTACTATCTGTGTGTTTTGCTGATTTCCTAATTTTGAAGAAGTTTGCTGCCCTCCACGGACCAAGGGAGGGGGAATAACAGTGCCTGGTATACGCGTAGAGGAGGTCTGCAAGACAGAAAATAGATTATTCGCGTTGTTTCATTCTGGTATATTTATATGCATGCTCTCTGCTGCTGCTTAGTGTGCCGATAAAGCGGTATCCGAAATCTTACGAAGCAATATAACATATGTAAGGACACGATGGCAGTCTGGCTACATGCTCAGGGATTGTTCTCTCTCATCCTGCACAGAATTCAAAAGGTAAAGAGCGGTCCTGAATGTTTTCATCTGCCCTCCCACCACTGAAATTCAGTAGCTCAAGAACTGCTGTACTGAGACACGCCAAAGAGGCTCGCCACAACCCGAGGGCGAGAGCAGGGGGTACGGGAGCGCAGCGCTCTGGCTGACGTGACGGATGCAGTATCTGTCTTGAGGCAGTGGAAAGACTGTAGGACAAGAGATGGCTGGGCTGGCTGCAGTGCAGTTAGTGTCAAAAAAAAAAAAAAAGAAGACAAGGAAAAAAAAAGAAGAAGAAAAAGAAAAAAAAAAGAAGGAAAAAAAAGAAAAAAGTGTATTTTGGCAGGGGGAGTAAAAGAACAGGGAAATACAAACTGCTGTCTTCAAGGAGAAGCATGGGGCAGTCAGAAGTTGGAGATGCAGGAACCCAGGGAGGTGAGCAGACTGGGCATGGGCATGTATATGGGAAGGAAAAATAAAAAGAGAAAAAAGGGGAAAGAAAAAGAAAAAGGAGTCAGGCTAAAGAAATTTGAAAAATTGCTTCCCATGGTTTTTGGGCTGCAGAGTGCATTAAATCCTCATGTTTCTCATGACACTATAAAAGGTGATATGGTTTCACGCATCACTCGCATTCCTGCGGACCACTACCACCAGGTGCGATCGGGCTGAGCAGCACTCACTGCTCAAGAGCAACAAACCTCTCCATCCTACTCATGTGGCTTTACACATCTTGCCACTTCCCTCGCTCAAGCCCCAAACTGACCATCATCTGTGAATTAAGACTTCTAAAAACACTGAAGCTCCCACTTTCATGAGTTACCACCTGTACACACACGTACGTATTTAAGCAGGTGGGAAGATTTATCCACTTCTGTTATGCTTTTCAACTGAGGACCAAATGTTAAACTCAACTCCTACGCACAGGAATTAGTAGAGCTTTTACAACCAAGCAAAAGCAGACGGAGGTTAGGTTAATTTGCCCAAACACTGCAAATTAGACAGAATGACTTCAGTTCTGGATTCTTAGCTCCCAGCTCTCTGCTCTGTCCAACCGAAGTTTCACTCTCTGTTTGCTGAAGATTTAACTCGTGGTCCAGTTCCTCTGAAAGTGCTGTCTTCAGTGAAGGCAACTTGCCTTGAGGAAGAGATTACTCCAACCGACAGATTGCTTTAGGTTTTGTGAACGTTTCCTAAATGGACAGCAAATTTACCCCTTCCCTCCAGTACAGCATTCTAGGGGATTTTTGAAATGAAGAGTTGCCATTTTCCAAGTGAAAGCATTTTGTGCTGAAGCAGTTTTGAAATTTGTTTCGAATTAGCCCAAGGTAAATAACCAGAAATGTTTACAATCCAAAAGTGAAACGAGATACACAAGAGGAAGATTAGGTTGACAGATGCCAACTGCCTCTGCCTTTTCTTTTTTTTTTCTTTCTTTTTTCCTTCCCCAAGGCTTTCCAACATTTCATTTAATTTAGTCTGAACCAAGACCTCTCCTACTATCATGTGCCATTCAGCCACCAAGCCAGAAGAGAAAATCATATGATTCACTCAGCTCTTACAGTTAATCACACTGAGGGCACAATTAAGTCTCTTGAGGGTACGGCAACAGGCTGCCACAACATTTCTACGACATCCTCTTTCGCCAAAGGTCGTTAGCACTGGTATGGATGTGTTTATCAGCAGAGTGGATCAGGATGACCAGCCACTGAAAAATAAGCTTATGAGAGTTATCTGCGTGTGACATCCTACTTCTATCTCCCACCCCAATCGTTCTTAAAAAGCTTACAGCGGGGTTTTACGGGAGTTAAAAAAGAAAATTCCACCTGGCTCCAAGCCGTTAACGTGATGGGATTGTCCTTTCCTGTACTGTGCACCTTCCTCTCTGCTCCCTGCCCTGAACCTGGCAGCCTGGCCCACCCCACTGACCTGGAGGGACGGCTTGCCAGCAGGAACACTCTGCGGTCCCCGCACCAAGGGCGGAGGGGTGGCCACAGCACTCCCAGAGGAACCAGCAGGCTGGAAGAGGAAAAAAAAAACCAGAAAGAAAGCAGACGAGTGTAAGGGTGTAAAGCAGAATTACAGAAGCTAAGGGAATAAAAGCGTTTACCTCCTTGTGCCTCAGTAAGAGAATCTTCAGAGACTGTAGTTTCCCCCCTCCCCCATCCCTTTCCTCCTCCAAGCATCTCAACAAGCGTATTTAAATGAAGAAATTATTAGGTAAGTATAGATAAGATTACACCAGGAAAATAAAAAACCATCTATACACCAAAAGCAGAGCAACGTGGAAATCTATTTCAGCAATCTCAGCTTAGAGCCCGCGTCAGTCTTACCCACCATTACTACTAGTCTCAACTAACTAGGTTCAAGCATAATGCAAGGTGGAAAAAAAAAAAAAAGAGTTTAGGAAAAAGACTTCAGATATTAAGAAGTTTAGGATATGCCATTTCACCCAAGTTAGTTCAAACATCCAGAGCTCACTGCTCAGCGTTCAGCAACAAGTTGAGTGAGGCAGGTACTTGCATTAGTTTTAATCCCATCTACTGAAGCACTCAGAAGTCCAGGAGAAAGATGCCAACAGAACAAACAAAACCAGCCAAGAGAGCTGTATTAACATCCGTCTGCACTGTGAAGCGCACTTAAATCTACACATCGCCCCCATCGCAAAAAAAAAAAAAAATCCATCAAGTCAGCATTGCACACTGTAAAATAAAATCGTTTAGTTGCCATTGTTACAGATACTTGAAATTTAGCTTGTGCCTTGATAGCAGCGCGTGGGGTGTTCGCTCGCCCCCTCGCCTCCCAACCTCCTCTGCTCTTCTCCTGCCACCCTCCACCTCTACCCTTCAGTGCCACTTATGCAGCAAGCAGTCCAGGCAAGCGCTCTGATAAAAAGGCAGATTTTTTTTTTTTTTTTTTTTTTTGTCCCTGATGAAAACAGTTCTCCTGCCAGCACTCTGGGTATTGCGTGTGGTTGTGTGAGATGAGGGGAGGGGAGAAAGGAGGAGGAAGGGAGCTGAGTGGGAGGGCTGAACCATTCCTTCCAGGGGCTGCCTGGATTTTTTTGGATGATGAAAGTGTGTGGCAAACCGCAGACTGACTTCACCTGGGAAGACCTGGAATCCAGATCTGGGCTTCTGCCACGCAGCACAAAACGCAGCCCTCGGCCACCAGCCCCCAGAGCTTGGGGTTCAAATACTTTAACTCTACCTGTCACCACGTTTTTACGTGCAACAATCTCCTCCAAAGGTATGTCAGCAATCTTGATGCAGCATTAAGGACTGGATGGAGTGTTTAATAATTGGAAGTATATTACATTCAAAAATGCATCTGAGTTTTAACAAAAAGGTCTTCAGCTTTTGAATACGGTTGATAGGATAAACTGTCTTCTTGTTTGGTCTTGGCAAGACAAAAAAAGGAATTCCACAAAAAGGAATGGTTATCAGGATAAACCACTATAAACTTCATAAAGATTTTATGAAGAGTGAGATAGGCTTTATTTGAAAGCTACCTTATGTTCCAAAAGTTATGGCAACTGCCACAGTTATTTGCATTTCCCCCCCTCCATTTCAAAAGATGAGATAAGTATCTGTAGGAAAATAAGTACCTTCTGAGTAGTGGTCTCCTTCTGGATTTGACTTTGCCGTAACTTTTTCAATAAAACAAGCTTTGCTTCTTCTAACCGTAACTCTTCTTTTAGTTGTTTAATCATTCTCTCACGCTCCTCCGGACTGCTTTTCTGCAGGGCCAGGTACGCCAATAGAGGATGGGAAAACAGGGAGGGGGGAGAGGGAAAAGATAGTTACCATACAAGTTAGGACAAGAACTTACAGCACTATAATTGTCATGTACGTCTTAATATCACCGACATGCCAGCAGTATACAGACATAAATTGAGTACAGAGAAAGAACTCAAAGGCCCCACCCCGAAGAAAAAAAACACAAAAGCCCCCCCCCCCCCAAGTTTGAGATATTTTCACTAGCAAAACAAGTAAACAAAGACAACAAATCTGTGTTATGCCATGCTGAACAAGGGGCATTGCGCCCACTAAAAAGCCAATTCTGAAGAAGGTGCGCTTTTGAAGCGTATAAAAACCAAGGAGGAAAAAGCCTGAAAAAACCAAGAACAACATCAGCCTTTAACAGCTTCAAGATTCCCTGCTTGGAAATCCATTTTTATAAAACCACGTATCCACCCAACCCTGTGACCACAGGTGCCTCTGCAGGAGCAAGCAGTGTGTTTTCTTCTTTTTAGATGGCACAACTTAAAGTGCGTCAAGACAAGAAGACTCACCATGAGCGCCTCCGTGTTGGTCTCTTTTAATGCTATTTTTGTTAAACCATTCATTCTAGGGCTAGAAGGTTCATTGTCAGATAACACTATAATGTCCGGTGAAGGGACTCTCTTTTCTCTCTTTATTTCACTGCAAATCAAAAGAAAAATACAGACGAGTTAATAAAAACAAGCAAACAACTACTTTGTGCTGTGAAGTAACATTATTTACAACCTCCTGCTAGATTAATCCTCAGCCTCTCAATTCTGAATAAACATGGATGAGTTCAATCAATGTCTATTCTCCTTGTGGATATTAAGCTTCCCAGTACAAAAGCTGCCACCAGGCAAGATGCAGCCACATGTACAGGAATGGTGAACTCCTTCAAATTAGAAGCTTTTCCACCAGCATCCCCCTTGCAGAACATGAGGGTTTCCAGGGCTCTGCTTGCACCAGGGGAAGACCACATCCCACCCCTAATCCAGGCCCAAACATCTCACTTGCTGCTTCTCTTTAATGTGCTGAAAGGCGAAACCTATACCCCTCTTTTCTTTTTCCTTTCCCAATGCAAATATTTGTAAGTTGTGGCTTTTCCCCACCCAAGTTACTGAATCTGAAGGAAACCCCACACAAACAACTCACACCTATTCACTTACCTAAGTTTACGCACTTGAAGGCATTAACTTTGTTTTACACCGACACTACTAAATTCTTTTCTGCTATTAACAGCGGAAACCTGTAACAGTCTCAACAGACACATCCTCGCAACTTCATCGAAAACCACTGAAACACGTCCAGACATATATTGATTTTAACTCTTTATTTGGCTTTAACGCTCAGTGTCTTGAATGATGGCTGCACCTTCCACCTGAATTCCTGACAATAAATCACCTCTCAGCTCCATCATACGAGAACAGAATCTTAAACTACACGAACCAAAAGGGACAGAGATGACGAGATGTGAGAACAGGTGCCAGCGCAGATCACCTTTGGTACCAGGATTTAGGATTTCAAACTACAAAGCCTAAGTATTTCAGAATAAGGTTTGGGGCATGTGATTGCTGAGAAGTTTAGCAGGAGCTTCACAGGAACAGGACAGCAAAGTCTTCTGCACCACCCAGGAAACGACGACAGTGCTTGACATAGGGCCGACAGCAAGGATTTTAGGAGAATGTAACACAAGCAAGTGTTTTGTTTTTCTTGTAATGCAAAGCCAGAAGCCGGAACAGTGAAGTTTACAGCGAGAACCTTCTGTCTTACAGTTCGGAATTAGACAAAATGTGTAAAGAATTGGTATCCAGCAAGATGAAGCAAATATTTAAGTGTGGTTTGTATTATCCACAAGTAAGAGATGTGGCATGTGAGCCACATTGTTCTTTTAAGTATCAGGCAGCTACTTCTTAGATTAAACAACAATTTCTAGACTTAACTGATACGCCGCGTTTATTAGGAATTCAATGATTAACAGAAATTAATCCTTATTATCTTATTCAGTGATGCTGAGGATATTCACACCAAATAACAGCGCTGAAAAGCTGCGCACCCTGATAAGCTTGGTGAAACACACACCTTCAGTAAATGCACAGGGCGGGTCAAATGATATTTTGGATACTACAAAAACTGCAAAACCCAGCTTTTAAAATACAATTTTCATGTTGGGGGGGGAAGAAAAAAGTAGAGAAGTGTCCTCTAGAGGGCACAGCAAGCCAGTAAACTCGAGTCATTGAAACTCTGAGGTTGTTTCAAAAGTACCAGTGACACAGGTGAAGTATTTCCAGCTTTTTCCTGTATCTTAGTGCACCAGACTGGCTCAGGTCGCTCTCAGCAGGGAGGTAACTGGGTCGGGCCAAGCTCTAACTGTCTCGGAAGCTTCTCCCGACAGCGGTGAACAGCAGGCGTGCAGGGAAGGCTCCGACATGTCGAGCTCCTCGCTGCTGAGCCCTTTTCAGGCTGGAGCAGCTCCGCGTGAAGGACTGAGACTCAACCGGAGTCAAGCGCTGGCCCTTCCTCCTCAAACTTTAAGGTTAAATCCCTCATGAAAAGCATAGGCAGTTAACTAAAAAAAAGTTGGGACTCAGATAAACGTGGGGATTTGAGCATTCTTGCAACATGAACCAGCCCACTGCCAAAACACAAGGGCTCTTTCTCCTGGTTCCACCTTTGAACCAGCCCACACGACTGCGGGAAGGGAAGCTGCGAAGAGCATCCGCAGGTACGAGGCAACGTGAAGGATTTTATTCAGCTACAGACGAATAAACCATAGGTGACACTTCGCACCCTCTCCACGCAGCGGTGAGAGCAGCTCTCCGGGCCGTCCTCCGCAGGGATCTTGACGGAACCCGGGAGCTGCCAACGGGGCGACGCCAGAGCTGCTG